AACTGTACCGTCTTAGAGAAGTTCCAAAGGCTTGCGAAAAAATGGGCAATGTTCTTGGAACACTGCCCTACAAAAGCAGACTATCAACCCCCACTCTATTTCCCGTTTCCTACAGGTAACTTCGAGGGATCTCATTCTCACCTTCTGCATTATAAATGGTCTGGATTGTTGCTTATTCCCGATGATTTTTTTACCCAGGCTAAAACGCCCACTTTGCACAGCCATCCCTTAAATCTACGTCCCGGCAAAACAAGGATCAGTGCACATAAATTTTTCTTCACTAACAGGGTGGTTGCAGCTTAGCGTGCTCTGCCCGAAGAGGTTGTCCTCTCCACCGGTGTTAATACGTTTAAGAGTAAACTGGACATGTAACAAACACCTAATTCACCAGCTACTCGCTATTCCAAGAGGCAGATATACGCAGACACACAGGCATACACAGACAGACACATATTGATTATACTACTCGTGGTAAACTAGTAGTCATTTTTATTACTATTTAAACTACGCGATAGCTGCTCTATTTTTTGACCTGCGAGCCTGTAATTGAAGCATTTGTTTTCTATTCTTCTTTTGTATTCATGCATTTTTAACCGGTTCGTTACCAATAGTTAAAGGCAAAGGCGTTCATCTATATTCGTCTCAATAAACTGATACCGATATATGCGATTATCCAATGTCGATTTTATAACGAAGTTAGGACATACGTCGTGGCTTGTTGGTTGGCTATGAGACCAACTAGTCTAGAACCCAGTATGCAAATTAGAGGTGCTAAGAGCCAAAGGTCCCCCTTCACGAATCATTGGCTGATCAACTGTAGTGTACAGTGATCAATCAGCGGTAGGAGATGTATCAGGATAACAGACATGGGGCGACCATGTGAAAAAAAGCTACCGTCGATCACTATGAACAGTCACCTCATCCAGGGGGACGAACTTCATCGGAGAATATTAATATTATAATATAAAAAAGCTATGTCACTGACACTTTACTAGGAATATTACAATTAGTAGCCTTGCGAAAACACAAAATTGGTTGATACGAAGTCGCAGGCATCAATCCAGGATGGGTACATCCTGACAGACAGATCGGTGTTCAATCAACCACTATAAAACTATCAATATAAGTCTTCTTTATCGGACAGTCGATTGCAGATGTTACAATCGGTTTGATGAGGCAGTTAATTAGGCATATGTACAGAAAAGAATTACAGTTATATAGAGACACTCTGTCTCAAAGACTGTGTTTAAACAGTCATCGACCAATTCAGTGTTAGTGGTAACAGACTACTCCTAGAGCATCCGTCTCCCTCGCTCACCCTTTACAGCCCTGGACCAGGTTGCAAGACCGGGTCAGGTCAAGCAGAAAGCTAGATAACCGGTGTACGTCTGTCACCCACGGCAGACGTCCTCAGACGCCCAGACATCAGTTAAGTCAAGCTGCTTTGACGTCAGGTACTGGATTTATCGTCATAATAAAACAAATCTTTACCAGAAAAGACAAGAGCGACTGGAATGGGGCCATTTCTGGTTTATTAGCCGTCAGCAGCCACCCATACCCCAACCTCCGGTGTTGCAACCCATGAGGCCTGAACCCGCCGCCTTGTTGGCTAGAATTCCGACGCTCTAACCGTTGTGTCATGGACCCATTTTCGTGGTATCGGTGGTTTCGATTGGCGGCGCCCATCGATCGTGTTATAATACACACGTGTCCCGCTGTACATTGGAGCACTGCGAATATAAGAAACTGAACATTGACGACAAAGACAAGCGGGAGACTGGAATTGCCCTTTCCTCCAATCTATTCCCCACTCCCTCTGTACAGAATATACTAGTCCTCCAATCTGACGTCTTGTCGGAGGTAAGTTGCGTCGACAATAGAAGGTTTCCCAAATCACAAGTCAGGTAAGACAGCGAGGGCAGGAAGACCTTTTTAGCGAGCGAAAGGAGCTTTACAGCGGGCGTTGGTAAACGATCGCAGCCGCTGCATCCTCAAGCCAGCGCGTACGTGTCCGCTGCTGCGAAGCCTCCACTGTGAAATGTTTGTAGCCAATCAAATGAGTCGGGGTGTATCCATTGGCTACAAGTGCGTATCAAACAGCCAATCGACCGGGCCTTGGCAGAGTGAAAGCAGAATGGGTCATCGCCATGGCGCAGTCGGTTATGGAAAGCCATTTGGAAGAAATTTACAAGGCGGCGTAGCCTAGGACCACAAGGTTTGGTAGATCGATTTTTGCAATTCTTATAAAGGAAGTGTATATAGTTATTTTAAATAAACATATTACTCAAAAGTAGCGAGTACTATGTTTTTATAGCGTTTAATTATTCTGCCATGTCCATTGACGTATCCACGGCTAATTTCAGAGGACGTGGTGGCTATAGAGGTCTCACTTAATCTCAAATGTGTCCACAGATGGGGACCTGACAATGTTCGCGGGCAGAGCATTCCAAGCTTCAACTACTCTGTTCAATACGCGACAATATGGAATATCCTTCCAATTTCTATTGGGAAAAGTCGAACTCTCGTAGAATTCAAAATAAAAATAAAAAAAGTTTCTGTTAAGTAGCACTACACATCTTTTCTC